GCGGCGGTGCAGCGTCGCTGTCGGCCGGCGTTGGCCGCCCCATCGCTGCCTGCTCCTCTTCATCGCCGTCAGGACTGAAGGTGCGTGGCTTACTTCTTGTCTCCATAGCCACTTCTGACGCCAAATGTAACGGATTCCGGAGACACTTGTAGAGGTAACTTCTTTATTACAATACAACACTCCAACCTTTCAACTCTCCAACAGTCCTGATACTCTGTTACAGCCTAGGTACACAGCCTAGCTACTCTACTCTGGCTACGCTCTGGAACTCGCCCTCACAAGGTCGTAGAGTCGGGAGTTCCAGAGTCCCAGCGCTGGCTCTCACAGCATCCCAGGGTCTTCAGATGGCTGGTCGTGGGTCTTGGGTCTTGAGTTACAACTGGGCCCCGATCGTCCAGGGAGCTCTCCTTTTATGCCTGGTCCAACGAGGGGTGGGGCCGTGTGCGCCACCAGACATCCCACAGAGCACACACAGCCCCCCCCCCCCCCCCCCCCCGTTGGCGGCGCCCAGGGGATTAAGCGCCTGGGAACTCAACGCCTGGTGCCCAGAGGCTTAAGCATCTGGACCCCCTGGGAACCCAGCGCCTGGCGCCCAGAGGCTTAAGCGTCTGGACCCCCTGGGAACCCAACGCCTGGCGCCCAGAGGCTTAAGCGTCTGGACCCCCTGGGAACCCAGCGCCTGGCGCCCAGAGGCTTAAGCGTCTGGACTCGCCTGGGATCCCAGAGCCCCCAGCAGCCCCTCCCTTCTTATGTCACTACACGTGTACGGGCAAAAAAATATCTATTTGTTTGTGTTTCTGCCTTGCGATGAGACGTTGCAGGATGAACGTTAAGATTTTTTAAGGGGCACGGGGTGACCAATACGGTCTGAATTGGTCTGTAATAAAGTGTGGCACTGATAAGGGGTTGACAGGCATGCGCTATCTCGTGTGCTATGTTCTCATTTCTATTCGCTTCCTTGCTGTTTGGGTCCTGACACCGGAACGACCACCACCATCGATTTGCGCGGCGGTTTGAACATACGACGGCTCGAGGTTCCGACAAGGCAACTCGAGATACAGACAGGTTTGTACTGGTAGGAACCACCTGGTTCTACCAGCCCACAGGGGATTATTGTCCGTTCGTCGTGCAGGGAGGGGCTGGGTGGGGAGGGGAGGGTGGGGAGGGGCTGGGTGGGGAGGGTGGGGCTGGGTGGGGGGTGAGAGGGGTGGGTCTGGGTGGGGAGGGGCTGGTCACCCCGTGGTGCCCTGATAACACTCAACGTTTAACCTACTCACGCCGGCTTGTGCCCGCCCTCACAGTCGGGAATATTTGCGGAATACACCACGCCGCCGTTGACCCTGGCCATTGACCGAGCAACCCAACGTTACTACCAGCTCCCTCCGCAGGAATGTGTTTATGTTTCTAGGAAAGGGGGCGGCAACAAAGCGAAACCGCACGAGGAGACAGCTGCCTGCCGATAAACGCACTCGGCACACACGCGGTACACACACAAGCGGTACACACACAGTACACACGTGGAAGTTCGTAAGTCGGGCGTTCGTAAGTCGAGGAGTCCCGTATTTATTGTGCTTTTGCGGTTTCGGTGGCCCGGGTGAATCTTTCTCGATTCGGATTGTAACATAGCAGCAGTCTTTGCTCCCTGGCAGACAAATGCCCCCACCTCCAGGTGACTCTTGCAAACGACACTCGACCTGGTCTCTTGAGTTTTCTCACCTGGTGAACACAATCAGACTTGGGGCTATTGTCATCGACGGGACAACACGTGTGACGAGATGTTAACTCCCTCGCCTGGCATGCAGGAGGTCCTGTGAGTTGTTTGCGTGGTCTCCCCGTGGTCTCCCCCGTTGTCGCGTGGATTTTTCTTCGCGTCCTCCGGTTTTCCCCCTCCACATTTAGAATCAACATCACGCGTTCAGTTGATTTGGCTGCTGTAAATGTCGACGTGGTGATAAGCCGCCACATCGTTGAGCAATCAAATTGTGGCCAGGTCGCTTCTGAAAAAAGGAGGTAGATAGCTCCAGCGGACCTTACCTGGTAAAAAAAAAAAAAACAAGTTGTTTATAGTTTTTCTTCGGGTCTTTCGGTAAAGTCACGTAGATAGCTTCAAAGAAAATAACAAAAAAAACAACAAAAAATACGACGTTTCGGTGGCAACACAAGCGGTCGTCATCAGGACGTCATCAGGACGACTACTTGTCCTGAAGACGTCCTGATGACGAACGCTTGTGTTGCGACCGAAACGTCGTCGTCGTTTTGTTATTTTCTTTGAACCTATCTACGTGACTTTACCGAAACACCCAAAGAATATGAATTCCTGCAGTCACAAAGCTTTAAGTCAAGATTTTATTGTTTATAGCTTGAGTAAATGCAGACAGGATCGCAAGGTGGCGCAGTGGTGACACGTGTGCCTTGTAGCAAGTCAACCTTTGTTCCACACCCTACTCGGCCTTAAATAAAAAACGAAATATAGGTGACGTTCAGGGCAAATTGCCCTTTTGCACAGCACATCAATGTTACCGTAGGTATGTTGAACTTCTTTCGCACCGTACGTCGCACAACCGTGCTGATCGGAGGTGCGGGGGAAGGACAACAAACTAAACACAACAACAAGCAGTTCTAAAGACATGAGTTTGCCAATCTAGACGATGATGATTTAAAAGTGAATAGCTCCAGTGGCTTTCTAATATTGGATGGAAGAGCGTTCCAGACGGCCGCAGAAGCGCATCTGAGAGCGCCACGCGACGCGGTGAGACCGTCTTGGTTCGATGGCCAGCCAGAATCCGCTGCTGCGAGGATGACCGCAGTTCGCGTGACGATGGTTTCTTCTTGATTTGAAGCTTTCGTGACTGCAGGAATCCATACTCTTTGGTTCTTTCGGTAAAGTCATGTAGGTAGAACATAAATCAAAATAAATCACGACGTTTCGGGCGCAACACAAGCGTCCGTCATCAGGTGGGACAGCATGGTCTGCTGATTTATTTTGATGATTTATTTTGTTTTATTTTATACTTACGTGACTTTAACGATGGTGTATGCTCCTTGACGAGATCAGCAGCGATGTTTTGTGGCGAGCACTTTGTGTGTCACGAGTGCGACCTCGTTATAATGTATTGGGTTCGACAGCCGCAAGGCAACACAGCACGACAATGTACTCAACATTTCACATCAATCCCAAGGCTAAAGGGTCGTCCATAAATGACGTCACGCGATTTTGGACGATTTTTGACCCCCCCCCCTCGTCACACGGCGTCACAAAAAGTCAGACCCCACCCTCAAATATGACGTCACAAAGCTCTGCCCCCCCCCCCAAATAAAACATTCTTCAAATCTCTTCAAACTATTGACATTGTAGTGCGTATTTAATATGGCGCTGCACTCTGATGTTGTAGGAGAAAACATTTATTAAAAAGTTTATTTAATTGAGTAGAACGTGTTGTCTATATTTATTTAAAGTTTCGCATTTTGATGTGACGTCACATTTCTCACCCCCCCCCCCCCCCCTCGTCACACATCGTCACAAATGTCTGACCCCCCCCCCCCCTAGGTGCGTGACGTCATTTATGGACGGCTCCAAAGCAAACATTCCTGCAAATCACTCAAATGGCATTATACACAGCAGAAGCAGCGACATCATCCGCCACTGGAAAACAACAACAACTTAGGATCCGATTGAAATACAAAAAATATAGTTTTGTGACTCGCATACCTGTGAACCCCTTATCAGTGCCCTACCTTATTACAGACCAACTCAGACCGTATTGGTCACCCCGTGGTGCCCTTATAAATCTCAACGCTCATCATACAAAGCCCCATCGCAAGGGAGAAACACAAATCGAAAAAAACACATTTGCCCGTATTTAAAAGTGTGTATGGACCTAAAAAAACTCAATTTCCCTGCACAACAATAGGGGTGATCAAACCGAATGGGTTGACACGTTATTACGGACCAGTTAAGACGTTTCCCGGACACATAATCGAATTGGTAGCGACGATTTAAAGTAAAAAAAAAATTATTTAAATGATAGTAATAGGCTTTGACCCTTTCAACTGGTACAAAAACTGGCACCTTTATACAAGGCATCATGTTTGCAATAACCACAACACAAGCAGTCAAAATGCAAACAAAAAGAAACAACTCTGATAATGATTCATTATCAGAGTTGTTTCTTTTGTTTGCAAATCTGAGTCTGTCTGTGTGAGTCTGTATACAGCTGTCAGTTTTTGTACCAGTTGAAAGGGTAAAAACCAATCAGTTTCAAAGACAGTGCATAAATTATCAGAGTATTGTTTTTTGTTTGCATTTGACTGCAAGTATTGTGGTCAATGTAGGCATGATTCCTTGCAAAAGGTATCAGTTTTGTTGCCAGAAAAAAGAGGAAAATCCCTATTAGTATATTTTGGTACTGGCAAAGGAGGTCCCATGATGTAGCTGCTCACCCCGAGCTCTCATTACTCTGATAATGCGCTGTCTTTGAACTGTGCGCCTTTTGGCGTCATCTGGTCGAACACCATATGAGACTAGGCTCTAAAGAAAGCTGTCTCTGGTGTGGACCAATCAGTTTCAAAGACAATGCATAAATGATCAGAGTATTGTTTTTTGTTTGCATTTGACTGCAAGTATTGTGGTTAATGTAAGCATGATTCCTTGCAAAAGGTATCAGTTTTGTTGCCAAAAAAAGGGGGGAAAAACCTATTACTATATTTTGCCACTGGTAAAGGAGGTGTCTCATAGTGTAAATCTTTAAATGATCCCTTACACCCCCCCCCCCCCCCGGAGTGAGGAGGGCGTGGTCACGAGACCGCGGGGGGAAGGGGTCGTGGGTCCTCATCCGCCCGTGCGGGATGAGGAGGAGGAGGGAGGAGGAGGAGGTAGAGGGAGGGAGGGAGGAGGAGGGGAGAGGGAGGGAGGGAGGAGGAGGGGAGAGGCAGCGGAGACTCCCGGAGCAGGCGAGCCCGGAGGAGCGACCGGGTCCTGCGACCCCGGGCGCTGTCCCCTTCTTCGTTGTGGGGGGAGGAGGAGGGGGGGACACGACCGGGGACATGAACCAGGTTGGGTGCAGCCCGGCACGGCCATGACGAGCGTCAGGGTGGTCGTCAGGGTGAGGCCTCGCAGCAAGAAGTGAGTTGTGGAAAAACACGTGCGTGTGTGTGAGTGTCTTGTGCGTGTGTGTGAGTCTGTGTGTGTGTCTGTGTGAGTCTGTGTGGGTCTGTGTCTCGTGCGTGTGTGTGTGAGTCTCGTGTCTGTGTGAGTGTGAGTGTCTGTGAGTCTGTGTCTGTATGTGTCTCGTGTCTGTGTGTGTGTCTGTGCGTCTGTGTGTCTGTGTGAGTGTGTGTCTGTGTAAGTGTCTGTAAGTCTGTGTGTGTCTGTGTGAGTGTCTGTGTGAGTCTGTGTGTCTGTGTGTCTCGTGTCTGTGTGTCTGTGCGTGTGTGTGAGAGAGTCTGTGTCTGTGTGAGTGAGTCTGTGTCTGTGCGAGTCTGTGTGAGTGTGTCTGTGTGAGTGAGTCTGTGTCTGCGTGAGTCTGTGTGTCTGTGTCTGTGGGGGTCTTTGTGTGAGTCTGTGTCTGTGTGAGTCTGTGTCTGTGGGGGTCTTTGTGTAGTTATGTGTCTGTGTGATTCTGTGTCTGTGTGAGTCTGTGTCTGTGTGTGTCTGTGGGGGTCTTTGTCTGTGTGAGTCTGTGTCGCGTGATTCTGAGTATGTGTGAGTCTGTGTGATTCTGTGTCTGTGTGAGTCTGTCTGAGTCTGTGTGATTCTGTGTCTGTGTGGGTCTGTGTCTGTGTGAGTCTGTGTGATTCTGTGTCTGTGTGGGTCTGTCTGTGTGAGTCTGTGTGATTCTGTGTCTGTGTGAGTCTGTGTCTGTGTGAGCCTGTGTGAGTCTGTGTCTGTGTGAGTTTGTGTCTGTGTCTGTGTGAGTCTGTGTCTATGTGAGTGTGTGTGTCTTTGTGAGTTTGTGTCTGTGTGAGTCTGTGTGAGTCTGTGTCTGTGTGAGTCTGTGTGAGTCTGTGTCTGTGTGAGTATGTGTCTGTGTGAGTCTGTGAGTCTATGTCTGTGTGAGTCTGTGTCTGTGTGAGTCTGTGTCTGAGTCTGTGCGAGTGTGTCTGTGTGAGTCTGTGTCTGTGTGGGTCTGTGTCTGTGTGGGTCTGTGTCTGTGTGAGTCTGTGACAGTGTGTCTGTGTGAGTCTGTGTGGGTCTGTGTCTGTGTGAGTCTGTGTGAGTCTGTGTCTGTGTGAGTCGGTGTCTGTGTGAGTCTGTGTGAGTCTGTGAGTCTGTGTCTGTGTGAGTCTGTGTGTCTGTGTGAGTCTGTGTCTGTGTGAGTCTGTGTCTGTGTGAGTCTGTGTCTGTGTGTGTGTGTGAGTCTGTGTGTGTGTGAGTCTGTGTGTGTGCGAGTCTGTGTGTGTGTGAGTCTGTGTGTGTGCGAGTCTGTGTCTGTGCGAGTCTGTGTGTGTGTGAGTCTGTGTATGTGTGAGTTTGTGTGTGAGTCTGTGTGAGTCTGTGTGTGTGTGAGTCTGTGTGTGAGTCTGTGCGAGTCTGTGTGTGCGAGTCTGTGTGTGGTGTGAGTCTGTGTGTGTGCGAGTCTGTGTCTGTGCGAGTCTGTGTGTGTGTGAGTCTGTGTGTGTGTGTGTGAGTCTGTGTGTGTGTGTGAGTCTGTGTGTGTGAGTTTGTGTGTGAGTCTGTGTGAGTCTGTGTGTGTGTGAGTCTGTGTGTGTGAGTCTGTGTGTGTGAGTCTGTGTGTGTGAGTCTGTGTGTGTGAGTCTGTGTGTGTGAGTCTGTGTGTGTGAGTCTGTGTGTGTGAGAGTCTGTGTGTGTGTGAGTTTGTGTGTGTGTGTAAGTTTGTGTGTGAGTCTGTGTGAGTCTGTGTGTGTGTGAGTCTGTGTGTGTGAGTCTGTGTGTGTGTGAGTTTGTGTGTGTGTGAGTCTGTGTCTGTGTGAGTTTGATGCGCGGGGAGCGGCGGTCGCAGCGGTTAGCAGCGCTGCGAACCCGGCACCCGAGTTCGATTCCCGCTCACGGCCAACACCGGTGACGATTACATCTGAGGCTGCCCCTGCTAGGTCGTACCTGGTGTAGCGGTGTGTACAAACATCGCCACCGGGGAGACAAAGGCGGCCGGGCGTGCTGCTGGCCACCCACCCTCTTCGTGTGCCTTGCCGATCTTCATAGATGATCGCTAAAGAGCACCTGCCCCTGCAGTCCGTTAAGGCTATACGGGGGATCTTTATATTCTTTGGGTCTTTCGCTAAAGTCACGTCGGTAGGTTCAAATCTTTGTCTTTTGTGTGAGTTCGTGATTGTTGGAGTGCCGTCACAGTTGAATCTGAGTTGATCGCTTTTCACTCATTGCAGCGGTCAATCGTCGTCAGCGTCGCACTTGAAGCCGCGTGGTGAGAGAAATCGTGGTTCCGAAATTGATCATTGTCATCATCATCATAAAGCGCCATCGCATGCTCGAGCAGCAACAATTTGGGTTGAATTGATTGTTCGAAATTTCACGCTCGTCACCGTCACCCGTTTGCCATCACCATCTTCTGTCGGTTGTTGTAACCAACACAGTTGAGCTGAAATAATGATGATGATCATCATCATCATCCCATGTTCCAGACCGCACCATTCATCAGCCTGAATTGACTGTGTTCCAAACTTTATAAGTCACCGTTGTCATCATCATCCTGAAAATGCTAATTGCTTAATTATGAACAATTTTGCTGGGTTGATGAGAATGTTTCAAAGTTCCAGACATCACCATGCAGGCTTGGTACCTCGTGATAGGTGTCTGGTGTTTGAACATCTTTCCGGGAGGGGAAGAAAAAACAGATTACATTTCATCACACCATCATCGGTTTGCTCAAGCGGTGCAGATGAGCTGAGACGATCAGGTTCCAAACTTCGTAATCAGCAACGGCATCATCCAGTTGCCATCATAATTTGTCTAACCAACAGAGTTGAGCTCAATTCATAACTATCATGATCTAATCATCAGTTGTTTCAACAGCACGGATGAGTTGAATCATCATCATCATCGTAGTCGTGGCCATCTGCACGGTTAGTGGTTTGTGTGATTCGCACGGTTGGTTACGTACGGTGCGAAAGAAGTTCATCATACATACGCGTGTGCGTATCGTGAGAAGCTTTGCAAGTTAACATTGCAGCGATTTAAAACTGTCGGGCGTTGACTCAGCCCATCATCGTCATTCCTCCAGGGCCGATAAAATACTGCCATAAGCATCACTTAGTGATGGGGGGAGTGGTTGTGTTGTTCTGTGGATAGCCTGGTACCCGCCACGGGAACGTGAAATTTCCACCACTGGCTAAGGGCTATTCAGTGATGATGAGCGCCTCCCCAATACTCGCTTGGGCATTTATAATCTGGTATTTGCCCTGCGTTATGGTGCCGCGTCCTATGTATGCCCCCCGCCTTCATCAACGCGCGCTGTGACACCAGCGTGGTGAAGTATGGTCGGATAACCCCCACGAGTCGTCGGGCGCGGGGAGGCCCTCATTCAGCAGTGGATTGACAAAGGTGCCCGGCATGTTTGTGGAGTGTGCACGATTTCTGTAATATGACATTGGGTCAACATCAAGATCAGGCGAGTTAAACATCATCGTGTCGATGTTTAGATGTTATTGCTTTGCTCGGTGCCGTGCGCAGTTCCGATGCCGGTTCTGTGGCAGTTGTGGAAATTCCACGTTGCTATGACGGGGGACTAGGCATGCCACAGAACCACTTTTGACTGAATTCTCACAAGGTGATGCTCTCGGTATTTTATGCGCCCTGGAGAGATGATGAGATGAGGCGACCGCTGATGCCGATTTGAACTTAACAAAGACAAAAGATCCCCCCTCTAGACGTTGTCACACTGTTGGGGCAAGTGCTTGTTGTACCGTGTGTACGTTAAACTTCTTTCGCACCGTACGTAGCCAACCGTGCGGGGGAGGTGCGGGGGAAGGACAACAAACTGAACACAACACGCACTTCTAAAGAAATGACTTTTTAATATAGAATGAGTTTTCAAACTAATTGGTTGTTCCATACATGTAAGCATGTCATACAGTGGCGAGCTGTTGACTGCCTTTCCTGGTATGCAGGAGGTCGTGGGGTTTGATCCCGGCCCTGACGGCTGTATATTTGCAGTTTGCATGTTCTCCCCGTGGTCGCGTGGATATTTCTCTGGGTCCTCCAGTTTTTCCCTCCACGTTTAGAATCTACATGAGTTTCGAGTATTTTGCGGTTGTAAATGTACACGGGATAAGCCACTCTATTGGGCTATCATTTGTGATAGCCAGGTCGCTTCTTAAAAATAGCTATATAGCTCAGTGTGCCTTACCTGGTCAAATAAAAAATTGCTTACTTTTTTGTTTAGTGTAAATGTGGAGTTTTTACTAAAAAAAATAGTTTAGTTTAAATGTTTTTTTTTACTTTTTAGTTTAGTTGAAATGTGTGTTTTTAACTTTTTAGTTTAGTTTAAATGTGTTTTGTTTATTTTTTTTTACTTTTTAGTTTAGTTTAAATGTGTTTTGTTTACTTTTTTTTACTTTTTAGTTTAGTTTAAATGTGGTTTTTTTTCTTTTTGTTTAGTTTAGATTTTTGTTAACTTTTTTTTACTTTTTAGTTTAGTTTAAATGTGTTTTTTGTACTTTTTTGCTTAGTTTAAACTTGTTTTTTTGTACTTATCCCTGAGAGATGCTGCTGTTGTCCCTTCCCTGTTGACAGGGAGGTGCAGTGCACAGAGGAGGTGATCGTGGACGTGAAAGAGAACGTGCTGTCCATCAGAAATGTCAAGGTACGCCACACTGCTCGCCGACAGTGCGAAGGAGCGGCCCACCACTGCTCGTATCACCGCATCTTTCTCCACCATCTTTCAACGTGACAAAGGTCGCACTCGGTACACGCAAAGTGCTTGCCGCAAATGAACCGCAGCACCTCGCTGATCTCGTCAAGGAGCGTAAAGCATCATCACGCGAACTCCTGGTCATCCTCACAGCAGCGGCGTCTGGCTGACCGTCGCCGCATCGCGTCCTTTCAGATGCGCTTCTGTGGCCGTCTGGAACGCTCTTCTGATATTAGGAAGCCCCTGGAGCTATGCACTTTTACATCGTCCAGATGGAAAACTCATTTGTTCGGAACTGCCTTTTTTTGTTTAGTTTGTTGTCCTTACTCCGCACCCCGATTAGCACAGGTTGGCTACGTATGGTGCGAAAGAAATTCATCATACATATGTATCATCGTCACCATCGGTCATGATCTATCCACTGCTGCATGAAGGCCTCCCCAAGCTGTCGGCCATCTCGGTCCTGCGATGTGAATAGCTCCCCCACTCCGTATAGCCTTAAACAGACTGCGAGGTAATAATCCATCCTGCACGGGTTGAATTCATCGCTCCAGCTCCACGATGGACGTGCTGCCACGTGCGTTCACGAGCTGGAATCATTGCTCCATCTCCACGGTGGACATTGTCTCGGCGTGTTCCGTCCTTTGGCTACCACTACATCATTTGTCGCCACGGTGGCGAGATGTTAACTACCTCGCCTGGTACGCAGGAGGTCGTGCGTTCGATGCCGACCCTGACGCCTGTTGCATATTTGGAGTGTGCGTGTTCTCCCCGTGGTCGTGTGGATTTTTCTCCGGGTCATCCGGTTTTTCTCTCTACATTTAGAATCAACGTGCATTTAGAGTATTTTGCTGCTATAAATTCCCACGTGATAAGCCACTTTTTCGAGCTATCAAGACCTATATAGCTCGGTGGGCCTTACCTGGTAACATTAAAAAAGTTTAATTTCGTCTCGGCCTTTGTGGGGTCATGCGTTGTGCTTACGCTGCTTCAGCGAGAAGTAAAAAAATGTCGCTCAAACGAGCAATGCGGCGGCACTTGAGCCAGTGGTGGAAATTCCACGTTCTCATCGCGAGGACCAGTACATCCACACAGCACCCGCTGTTTCCTTTTGGGATAGCACAAAAAGTAAGCCCTCGATATAAACAAAGCATTGTATTTGATTTTGAAATCTTGAAGATGCTGGGGATTGTTTTAAGTATTTATTTGGGCACTCGCCGTTGATGATTTGTGTTTGACATTCAGACTTGGAGCAACGGCGCAAAAGTAAACTCCTCGATATGAGCTCAGTTTTATTTGAATATGTTGTGAAGAAGGCATATTAAAAAATGTATGTAAAATCAGCGACATTACCAAAAATGTCGCTGATTTTTCATACATATATTGTCTTTTAAGGCCACAGTATTATTGACTCGTGTGTTCAGATTTTTTTTGTCAATTGTGCTTGTGCACCACTTACAAGGCAGCAACAGCAGGAGCATCACTGACCGATTTGTTCAGCTTTTGTTATGATGTAAAAATTCCGAGATTCCCGCGGTTTATCCTCGTGTTCTTTGCTCTCCCCGCCCGGCGCGTTGCGACCGCCGGCGACCGTGGCTCAGCCTTCCCGGTGGAGCGGCGTCGGCAACGGTGGGAGCCGAGACCTCGTCACGGAGTTCCCCTTCGACCGCTGCTTCTGGTCCGTGGAACCGGCGGCGCCGGACTTCGCCTCCCAGCAAACGGTAATGATCGGCGGGCGCGCGAGATCGGCACGCGGGTTCCCTCGTGGTGCCGGACCAGGGAAGTTTCCTCTGCTCCCTTTCGCGCCGCTGTACTGCGACGCCCTCTTTGCCTGCGATGTCTCGAGTGCCGCGATGGGTTTACCCTCGCGCTCGTCACCTGCCCGTCTCGTCGCGCCCTCCGCAGTTATTTGACAGATCTCTTCTATGAAGGGACTCTCTCCTCCACGCTGGAGGCAGGAGCTTGACTTGAAACCCGTCTCTCTTGAACAAAGTAAGCTGTTGGTCACGCGGATTGGTCCGCTGGATCATAATGCGGACTTTTTATTTTCAGCGCCACGGTTGGAATGTTAAGCTGTCCAACCAATATTTTGGTTTTCTGAAATCACCGTTCATTCATTGAAAATAAGCCGTGTGAGCCCCTGTGTGCCGAGCATCGTTCATTCTGCCTGTGCACACCTGCGAGTGTTATCCCCTGGTGTTGTTTTAGGACTTGTTCTCCGGTTTCCTCCTGCATACGACAGGCGCCTTACAAAGGGATTGGCCAAACATTGCAGTGCAGGATCCTCTTCAAAATGGGGTTTTAAAAAAAAAAATCACCGCAGCTTTTCTGGAAAAACACAGGACGGTTTGAACTGCTATTTATTGTTAAAATGTAGTTTTAAACGTAGAAGCGAGGGGGTATGCTGTAAGTTTTTTACTTGCTGTGTTTCGTTTGCCACGCGCGATGCGGCCACCAAGGGCAGTGAGGACAGAGCCTCTGTCAGTCGAACTGTAAAGCTGTTCCCACGCTGAATAGTGCCTTCCACATTCCCACGACAAGGCCCAGTCTCATCTTCAGAGCCACGCGGTTTATTCCCACGCTCACCTATCGCAGTTGCGTCGTATGGAATGAGAATCAGCGTCTTTATTTAGACTGGAGGAGGAATCCGATGAGCCGTGAAGCTCTTTACCCACAGATGTCCAGTATGGACGGGACAAAAAGGTTACAACAGCGAACGAATACAAAAACAACGATAGGAGTGCGAAATAGAGAAAATGTTAAGCAAGTCACTAAATATGAACAAAAAATCTATTTATTAAATAGGATTGAGCAAGGTAGCAAAAACAACAACAAAACAGTCCCAGACGACACTTTTAAAAGTTACGTTGTGTGTATGTACAGTTTACATTCGGCGTTCTTTCGCACAACACAGCGGTAAATAACAATGGCAGGCGACGAGCAGCGCCTGGACGCGTGCCACGTTCCCACAATGCTCCCCCGCAGCCCCCACCCCCTCCGCACGACCCTTCTCCCGAGCGGCTTCACCTTTGGAATGGTTGTTGGCCACCGGGCCTGGTCAGGTGGTGGCCGAGTTTCTGACCGATGGCGCCGGCCGGCAGTTCTTCGTGTCGGCGATCGGCTGGCGGGTGGTGGGAGTCGGGGTAACTACCCCTGAGGTGCCACAACAACAACAAAATACCTGGGACATTAAAGTAAACAATTTATTTTTATTTTTTACCCGTTAAGCCCCACTGAGCTACACTGTATAGCTCCTTTGTCAGCTCGCAGAAGTGGCTCGCCACGTGGCCAAATACTCCGGAGAAAAATGCCACGCGACCACGGGGAGAGAGACACTCAAACTCCAAATATACAGGGTCATCGCGGCGAGGAAGAATGAGTCGAACATCTCGACACCGCCGGATGAGGGCACGACGGTCATTTGACAGTGGGCAAGGCGGCATCATCGTGAGCACGCCCCGTCTCAGTCGTCGCTTGATGGTCACCGACTGCACGGCGTCGTTTGGCTGAAGTAAAATAATGTACATGGGCCACATCGTGGGATGAAGAAGACCATCTGACGATCGATACCGGAAGAGGGAAGGAGCTGCATGTAAACGCGTCGTCCGCGGAGTGCTTTATATGCTTTGCACAACTTGCAACAACAACGAGAAAAAAACAACCGGTGATCTGTGAATGTCCCGGGACAACTCGCAGACGATGCTGGGTAAAGCAGAGACACAGGTGGCAAGCTCAAGGTCTCCGGAGCCAAGCGCCGGGGCTTTTATTGATGTTTAGTGTGGGCCGGGAGGGGAGGGGGTGGAAGAGGGGGGGGAGAATGCACCGCTGGGATGAGATTTGTGACGGTTGAGTCCCAGAAGGGGACCGGTCCGTGCCCGGGTTTGAAAAGTGCTTTGTGGTGTTTCCGTTGCCGTTGGAGACGACCATGTGGCCGCGGCGGCTGCCGCTGCTGCGCGGATTCCGGCGTGCAACTGCAAAAAAACAGAGAATTACGCCAGTGTTGCTGCGAATTACATTGAGAGACCAAAAAACCAACCGCACTTTCAGAGACGTCACGTGGACGAGTTGGGATTTGTAAGCGGGCGACGGCGACGCGTGCGGCGGGGCGTCCACCGCGGAGACGGAGCGATGAAATCAGCTCGTGCCGGATGGATTATTTATTACATCGCAGTCTATACCGGGCGGGGGTGGGGGTGGAACTATTCACATCGTAGGAGTGAGAGAGATGGCGACAGCTGTTTGGGAGGCCTTCATCCAGCAGTGGATGGTTCATGGCTAATGCTCAGAATCATAATATTTATTGACACTGGAGTAATACGTCGAGCTATAGGAGCGGGTAAGAACGTTACGACAACAAACAATACGAAAACACGATAGGAGTGCAAAGTATGGGAAAGGTCAACAACTGATCTTATTTTGTATCTTACCAGGTAAAGTCCACTGAGGTATTAACTTATTTTTCAGAAGTGACCACAAATGATAGCTCAACAAAGTGGCTTATCACGTGGAAATTAACCTCAATGCGTGTTTCTAAATGTGGAGGGAAAAAAACCGGAGGACCCGGAGGAAAAAAATCCACGTGACCACGTGGAGAGAGACACGCAAACTCCAAATGCGATGATGACGATGGCGTTGCTCGGGATGACCTGGAGCTTAGTGCCACCTTGCCCCGGTCTGCGAGCAGCAGCGGTGGCCGTGTCGGCCCTCTGCGCCGTACACGCGGTTTGTTGCGAGTGGCAGCTGCTGCTTGTCGCCCTCCGACGTCAACGTGAAACTTGAACTTCGACGGGCGACGCGACTGCCCTGCACGTGACCTTGTTGCAACCGTCGAATGTTGCGTAACATCCTCCTCCATTCGACACTTCAACTCTCTGGCTGTCGCCTGATGAGGCTGGTTGTAATTACCGGCGAAACGTCGCGGCGCTCGAATTGTAAATGTTGTGGGTTTACTCTCCAAAGCAGAACTAGTAACTGTTTTGGCATGTTTTGTCTACATAACAAACCATACTAAATAGCTGTGTCGGCTGATGGCGGACTTAAAGACACAGTTATATTCATGCGATCTAACCCAAAAAAAACGTATATTATGGATAATATTGGTCATGAACGCCTTCTTGTTAAACTGCAACTTTGTTGCTTGTTTTACAGTGCAGTTGTACATTTATCGGGGCGTTAATACTCAGTCGCAGCCCGTGTTAACGTCTAATATAATATATTTTCCACGCGTACTGGCGTTAAGCGGCGAGTCGATTGTCGTCGGTGTTTCGGTTCGCCGCCGAGTTGAACGGCAAATTATCACGGCCAAGTTTAGCACTCGGATACGCGACGTTCCGCTTGCAACTGCGCCAAGCATCTTCAGGACAGAACCCAGGCAGTAGGAATTCAAATCCAGGAAGTCGGAATAAAATCCAGGAAGCCAGATCATTTCACGGCCGAACCCTACAATCTACTACGAGTCGATAAAATATTGTCTGCAAAAACCTACTCGTTAACTTAGGATTGTGTGTGCGTGTACAAGCGCATGCCAAGACTCTCTGTACACCAACCCTGTCATAGACACAGCCTAGGGATGTCACCATGCATTTACATCAAAATTAAAAACATTTCTTTAGAACTTGCTTATTGTGTTTCGTTTGTTGTCCTTTCGTCGCACCTCCGATTAGCACGGTTGGCTACGTATGGTGCGAAAGAAGTTCAACACACATACACATTATTCACGAGAGATGTTTATATTTATAACCAGGTGAGATTGCACAGGAGCAGCGCGGTGGTGTCACCGCTTGCTTCTTGTTGACGATCAATACCTCCATTTATATATAACCGCGCTTCAGCTCCAATGAGTCTCTTCTTCTCTAGGGAGACCCGGAGTAAATTACAGGCAGATGGAACATATTACAGAGGGGGAGAGAAAAAAACAATCTGATTTAGCAGTGGTGAATGACAACAATGAACACGGGGAACAGAGTCCAGTGCGGATCATAAGCGATCACACCGCCCGAGGTGAAGCGATGTCGGAGTTGAAAAGCAGCTGCCGGCTTGCCAGCTGTGAGATGGTCGATGTTTCGCTCGGCATTGCTCCGGAAGAATTGAATGATTCCCCCTTGAGATTTGGATTTTTAAAACATGTTGGGGCTCCTGTTGCAATAGAGGAATGCGTTCCTTTTTTAAAATCAAAATTTTGTCATTTAATTTGTATTTTTTGTATGGAGTTTGTTTCATTTATACAGTTTTGTTAGCCTGAATACATACGGTATCACATCACATCATTAGCAACAGTTCCAGCCCTCTTGTTAATCTAGTTTGGATGAAGACCTGCCTCGTGTCAATTCATTCAGCTGTACTTCACTAGGCCCGTCAGTGTGAGTTGGTGAGTTGGCGAAGGGGGGGGGGGTACTCATGACAAGTACAGACAGATGTCACTTGCCACTGATGTGTTAGCCCTGGCAGGGAGTCAAATTTGGGCTTGTATGTTTGTCTGTATGTATGTTGAACTTCTTTCGCACCGTACGTAGCCAAGCGTGCTAATTGGAGGTGCGGGGGAAGGACAACAAATTAAACACAAAAAGCTTTTCGAAAGAAAATAGTTTTCAATCTCGATGATTTAAAAGTGTTTAAGCTCCAGTGGCTTCCTCATGTCGGAAGGAGCGTTACCAGACGGCCGCAGAAGCGCATCTGAACGTGCCAGATGCAGTGACTGTCTTTGTTCAATAGCCACTGCTGC